GATCATGAAATTTCAGGGCTTGTGGTTTTTCGATTAATTCAACCGTCGCTGGGGACATCATGTCAAAACGGCGTTTCAATCCTTCGGAAAAGGAGGAAAAAGTTCCTATAGTGGAGAAGTTGTACAGGTAATCTTCGATAGTTTTCGTTTGTATTCACTGCCTTTTTTATTATCCCTTTTGTGAGTAAAATGCAGGATGCTTTTGTGGTATGCATGTGTGCTAAATAAATGTTCATTAATCAGTTAATTAAGTCGTAGATAACTTTTTCTGGACTCACTTTCTACGATTAGATTATGCTGTCTGCAGTGCAAAATTTTTTTCATGTTTCATCTTGCTGTTGAGCTGGGAAAGATATATAGTATGTTTTTTTGCATATATTATGACGAGACCGCTTTGACGCTTTGTGGAATTTAATCCCTGTCCCGTTGTTATTCAGCCATAACAAAATCTCTTTGTCTCATTTGTTACTCAACTTGATTTGTGTCCTCTGAAAAAGTTTGGTTAAAGTCGCGCAGCAAAAAATACCTCGATTTTGAGTACAGTGACATCCACAGCTACAAAATGCTTCTATAATATGGCTCTGCACAGATTCTTGCTCACGATTTCATCATTTTCGCAATATCGTAAGACTTGTCTAATTTAGACAACATCAGCCGTCGTTCAATGCAGCCGGGGGCTTTATGGACGACGATGACCAATACGAGGAACGACGAGAAGAAATAACCAAGTCAAGACAGCAAAGTTTGTGATTGTCCTGTACTGTTTGTTTGCTTTTTATGAGCGTGTTATGCGAAAGCAAAACCTGCCTTCATCTTCCATGATAACTTCTGAAGCTACTTATAGGAGCCGATGCAAAGTTCGCTAATCAAGAATGCCCTGATAACTGCATAAAGTGCAAGCGACCAATGTTCGACTCATGGCTATGGGAACGCTACAGCCATCCGGTTTGCGATGGATGCAGGTAGTTGAGGAACTTTTCGTGCGAAATTATGAGATCTGCGGCATGAACTTATGAAGTGTCTTCTTTTTGGTTTTTTTTTTCTGAGCTCAGTAATGATCGGCAAGACGGCTCTGTTCCTTCGTCCATTTACTGTGGCTGCTTATGTGTAGCATACAAACTAGAATCAATTTCCCAATCGTCACCCTTTGCTTCCACTTTTTCAGTCATCTTTTCATATGTATTCAGAGCCTCCTTTGGAAGTGTCTCAGTCAAAATGCTTCATCCTCACTACCTAGCTCTAACATGTACCATATCATTAGGTTACTATTCTAAAGCTGAGAAATTATAGGGGGTCACATGTTGTTTTCCCCTAGGAGAGGCCTTCAAATTATTCTCTCCCTTCGCACATTTCCATTTTTGCGTACGCACCTAGTTCACAAACATGCTCTCATTGGAGTTTTGTGGTTATAATTCATCATTTTGGTTACATTTTAGGGCGGAAGTCCTATAGTGACAAGTGGGGTTGACCATTATGCGCACGGTGAGGGGCTGACCGTAACCAAGCCTTCCGTTCATACGGTAAGATTAATTGGTACTAGATTTGTAGGGAGGATAGAAACATTGAACTGCCATCGGCTGGTCCCCGCAAGTCATTGTATAGACCGAATTGCCTTCAAAATGCCTTTACGATTTTGGAAGGAGGGGGTACATGTGGCGCGTCCCAGAAGGGTCATAAACCGGATGCGTTATATTTAGCCTTTCGAATGCATATCATTGGTGCACTCTACTGCTGACCTGGTAGTGTTAGTCAGTAGTAGTAACTAGGACGAATGTATTTATCCATGCCAAAGCATATCGCTTCAGCGATTTCTCTTCATTGGACTACTGTCTCATGTAACTGTGATATCTTAATGAGATTCTACTCATTCTTCATTGGTCTCTCATTTCTTGATTTTCAATTATTCAGAGATGATTTGGGTGAACATAAACTCATCCCTCGAACGGAAGCAAAGTCGTTTTACTTGCTCAAAGACTGTGATTTGGATCTGCGGAAACCAGTGCTGCGTTACTGGGCGAAGAAGAATCCTCACAATCCGCGCTATGGTGATATGAAGCTATATCTTAAATGTCAGGTAATACATAACAATTTTTTCTGCCAATCAACCTGCCACTACTTCTCAACTGTGCTCCAAATTTTGACATTTTGATGAATTTACATGAGAATATGTCAACAAGTTTCATACCGTTGCTAGTTCAGGTGGTTGAGCGGATGCTAGAAATTTACGGTAGCTGGGAGGAGTTCGAAGCTGAGAAGAAATTGCGCAGTGCACAAAAGGAAACCAGAGCTGAGAAGAATTTTGAAAAGAAGGTCAAGGAAATGCGACAGCATGTAAGTTGTGAAATTTCCGTTTCTTCGATGAATATGAAACCAAATGTCCAGAATTTTGCTTGTACCCGTTTTATACACCTGACTATCTCACAAGAATGCTGGGTTGTGAACAAAACTTTCGCCCCAGGCGGGACTAGAACCCGCACCTCTCGCTTTCCGGGCAAGTGCGCTACCAGTTACGCTACCGGGGCACCATTTCATCCCAACTCAGCTTTTCATGGTATACTTACCATAGCTTTTATCGTGGTTTCTTCGATGACACTCTCTAACACGAAGACCAACCACTAGATAACCTTTTTTTGTAGTGAATTAGCGTGGCCGCGTTCACGAAATCGGGGGTGGCACTATCGTATAAGGCAAAGACAGAAGTCATACACGAAGCATATGACAAATCCAAAGGCAAGGCATCATTTGACCTCTCGCTCTCGAACTGTGGTTTCTCAACTACCTCTGTTTGTGGTATTTTACTTTTGCTCTCAACCACATGCTTTTCTTCATCAAATTTATCTTTGGAGAGTTCTCACACACACCTGCTTCACAAGTGTCGTTCAAAATATTTCCCAAGTTCTTTTTTTCCACAATTTCGAGAGCATTATGCTTCTCTCATATCACCTCGTATTCCCCTGTTCTCACTAGCTTGCTGCGTGGATATTGAATGTGAGCTTTATTCAGATTCGTGGTCTTTCCGGTGTAAAAATCGAAGAGAATGCCGCGCATGAACACACTTATGGTGAGGAAGAGTATGACGAAAGTAAAGATGAATACTGGAAGGAGTGCACCCAATGTGATTATGTGCTCAGATACGAGAAGATGTGATGCTATATCCCGTTGAATGCCTCGTTTGTAGAAAGTTTTCAGTTTAATTGCGAGATCTCTGCTTTACATGCACTAATAGTAGGTCTCATTGCACTTGTAAACGTTGCAGTAGTTATTAACTCGTAAAGAATCATGCTTTTCCTTTATGATCTTTTTATCAAAGCTGTGTTAAGGCCATGATCCTTGTGGCTTACCGGCTTCTGTTCCGGCTACGACAAGGTATACCGCTGATGCTGAGTTGGGGGAATGCTTTCCTTTCACTGCCGCTCAACGGGGTAGCTAATAAACACTAAACTCTGATGTCTTTGCTCCGGCAAGGTGTCGATCCGTATTGCTATTCCGGCACTTTTCCGGAAGAAGGGGGGGGGGTGGATTCAGCGTATTGTGAAGTAATGGCGAGTTTTTCTCTTATTGTAAGTAAAAAAAAATAGTGCACATTTAACACCTTTTTGCACAAGAAAGTTGGTTCACGCGAAGTTCATGTTCTCGAAGCTTCCCTCCCTGCCAAAATTTGGATTGCTATAGTCGGCGCCTATTGTTGCACCGTAATGCTCCCATTATTGGGATATTCTTCTACATTGTTTTCGTAGGTTTCATTTTTTGCAATCATCCTGTGAAAGAGTTCTCAGAGTATTGTTTAATGTTTGATAATAAATCTATTGGTTTCTGCATCGTACGATTTAATCAGAAAAGTTGTAGGTTGTTAATCAAACGGAATTAAGTGACTAACAGTTTCGTGAAATAAGGACGAGTCAATAACATCAAGAATCACGTTGGCGTCAATTTCTTCAAACTCTCACCACGTTTCTGCAAGAGCAATAATTTTTGAAATTCCGCGTGTGATTCTTCACATAACCTTCTAAGACCTTAAGTCTACATCGCACGCTCGCTTGACCACAAAAAATCCAAAAAAAATGTGCCGCTTTTCTTCTCGTATTTCTCTAGCTCTCCGCGCTCACATTATCTCTCATCTCCCTGCCGGCCTTTTGAACTTCTCCGCAGCGTAGAGCAAAATGCTCGTATTTCCTGTGTATTTCAGGATTTTCTTTCCTTTTTTCTCCACTGTCCACCTCCTATCCCTACTTTCACATTTGAGTGGAATCACCCATCAATTTAATCCTGATTCTTGCCTTTTTTTTTGCCTTCCCAGAAAGGTCATGATTCTATCTCACCTATAAATCACTAGCTTGAGACCCATCGTCACGATAAGAATGAAAAGAACAAAAAAATTGCATTTGTTTTGGTAAACAATTCGAAAAACCGGAAGGACTGCTACGCGTTCAAATTCCCGCCGGACATCTGTCACAAATGCTGGCGGCGGGAACGCTTCCACTTGGTTCAGGGAGTGCTGTCACTAGAAACTCTTTTGACCTTTTGACTTATTGCACTGACGTATTCTCACACTTCTACTGCATCATATTCTATCGATTGTTTTGCTTTTATTCTCCAAAATCGCATGCTTTAACACGGGGAGGGGGGGGGGAAAGGGGAAAAACGGGGGGGGGGGGGGGGGGGGGGGCCGACTATTTCAATTGCTTCACCTGATACGTGGCCGAAACAAGTCGCACTTCTTCCATGCCCCGCGTTTAGCTCCGCTCAACCTACCTTCGACCGTCCATAGAGGGTGGTTATCGTAGGCTAGTCTTCTCCTCGGCAATGAGCTTGTGGGTGTAGCTTGTATGTTGCCGCATTAAGATCGGCCAGCTGAAAATATAACTCATTGAGTCGGAAAAAAGCAAGAATTTCCTAGGAAGGATTCCTTCAAAGGCAGCGATCAGGATAGGTTTAGTGGAGACGTGGTGGTGATCAGTGGTATGGCGAAAAAGGCGGAGGAGACTCCGTCAACTCCAAAACGAGATTTTTTGGTGATTTTCCTCCATGAAAAGGTGACAGCATATGAACGAGTTCATCGCAACGCGTTTGGTGGCACCATGCCAAACCACGCTCCATCGAGATGCTCCAGTTGTGCCGCTGCTGGCAACGCAGCTCGTCCAAATCACCAAGTAAACTAGTGGGCGGATCGCTTTTGGGGGGAGTGCTTTCGAAGTCCTGCTCAGCAACCAGCGCACCTTTCGTCGTGAAAGCGCCACACCTCGCTTCCCTGGCAGCCAAGTAACTGATTCGTGTGGTGCATATGCTTCCCCGATGCGCTCCCTCTTTATCGTAATCGCTGCCTTTAGTGGTGATCGGATAGCTCCTTAGGACATGCAAGCCATCCGATCGACCAGCATTTACCCTTTTTCTCTTCCTGTTTTCTCTTTCTGTGGACATCCGTAGTAGGCAACACAATGTGAAATGGAAGGATCATTTATGTATACTTTATGAAATAGAGATACTTCCAACAAATGTAGCCAAGTCACTGAATCCGTTGGCATGCCCAATGCCTTGGCAACAAGAAGTCTGCTACCGGATTACTGTAGGGAGCGCATCGTTGTCGAGCGTACCATTCTTGGCCATAAAATGCTATGAACATACCAGTTCCTGAAAATATTGCTGTACTGAGTGTTGAGCCCTTCCGTGGTTGAACTGTTTATTTTACGTCAAAAGGACAAATCGCGAAATTTCGTAATAGGGTTTAAGGGAAAAATATGAACAGGTAACGTGGCATTCATACTGCTTACCGGTAGGTCGTTAGAGAGTGGGGTTCTGTTGTAATGCTGTTCAAACGGAACTCTAATCGGGTTTGGTTACTACTCGCCATTTACTCTCGCCTTAGTTGTGCTATCCCTTTCATGAAGGTGGGTGGGAGGGATGGGGTGAGTTGAGCATGTGGAACTTCAACGAGAAGCAGTGCTGACTTTCATGCAGTATGTGTTACGCATCCCAATAAAGACTGATTAGTGCCAAGTGATCTGTTTTGATTCTTTTATCATGGTAACAAAGTTGCTTCGGAGCATAATCAAGCGGAATACGAATTCGATTGCTACCACGATCTGAATGGGAGCTGAGTGCATGGCGCATCCACTGAGAAAATGTTTGTAATACCTGGTCCACTGTACCATTCAAATGAAAAAATAATTACCTATTAGTAAATTGAACCATAAAGCTGTATTCCAGATGGATTTGTTCTTGATAAGTTTTGAGACCGAGAAGAAAATTCCTGGAAGCAACTGGGTATTATGAGGGTTTTCGCTGCATTAGGTGTACCGAAAAGGGTAACTAATAAATAAGTGGGATTTCACCCTAAATCACTCACCTCCAAACACGAAGTAAAGCATAAACATCACTGGATAGAAGACTCGGAACGCAATACCGAACCAGAACTCATGGAACAGTGCTGAGATGAAAAAGACGCCCAGCTGAGCGACTTGAAGGCCGCGACGTCCACCGATGAGCTAGAGAAGTGACATTGTAGCATGGCCATAAGTAAAGAAACAGCCCGCGATCAGTAGTAAGGTGCATTCAGGCAACATTTTTGAACATTACTTCTGCATTTTCATATCAACACACCTTTGAGACATCTCTGTACACATAGGCGTACAACCAGTCGTGTACCACTAGGTTCCAGTTACGGTAGTACTCAGCCATATTGTCGGCGTGCCACCAATTTCTTAAAAAAGAAACTACTGTCTTATCTGTACAGAAATACAAATGTATATAATACATGTGGCATTCTCAACCGAACATGCTGAAAGAAATGTCTTGCTTCAGTGGTGACATTTTTGGAAGAAGCGAAGAACCATCCACATCCTGGCCTGCAACACCGTCAGTCGCTAAGAACGCCTTAACTTTTTTAAAAACAAGTATTGATGTGTTTTATGTAGTAACAGTTGCTCCTAGCAACAACTAATCATCTGTAGAAATTTGGCTGATGCGCGCTGGGTTTGAGCTGGGATTCGATCCAGAGACCATGTGCGCGGCAGTGGCCCCTCCTGTCACCACACCATCTCCGCTCGAATGAGCATTTTCGAACAGTTCAAATACTATTCAACAAATACACATTTATCACATCTCATTCGTGGAACTAGGCAATGTCTGGTTGGGAACGCACTTGAAAAAATTGCAAGCCGCACTTTGTAGAAGTGCTGCTCCCCTGCCTACAGGCTGCGCCCACCGGCTGCTTCTCCTCTAACGAATTTTCGCTGGTTTTTATGCTCGAAAGCTGCGTCATCATAGGAGTGTTCTACTACCACTTCCGCATCAAACGAACTGACAAAATTCCGGAGGTTGGAATTCCCAACGCAGTCGTAAAACGCTGTCGTCCTCTAGCTGGCTTGCGGCCGATAAAAACCTCCATCCGTCATCGGTTGCTTATGTTTCACCTGTTTCACAATAATTGAGGGAAATATTAGAACCATTAACACAATACAAAGAGTGTGAGACTCGAAAACTACCTTTTCGGGAGCTGTGCACACTGCCCAGTGACCTGTGGAACGACTTGCTTATCAACTTATCCAGCGTAACTCGCTTAGACTTCTGATACTTCGCTGACAGAGTAAGAATTACCAAGTTTCTAGTTGTGCACAATTCCGCCATAAAGCGGGCCCTCCGATCTCAATAAGTGCCAAAACTGTGGTAGTGACTTTGACTACGAAGTGGGACACATGTGTACCACCAGTAGTCAAAGATTAACTTACGCAGGATGACTCGCTTTAGCTTCTGACGATTAATGTCATAGTAAGAATTAGAAAGCTTCTATATGTGCACAATTCAGCCATCAAATGAGCGCTCCTGCCTCAATATTCCTGAAACTGTGGTAGTGTCTTTGACTACCAAGTGGGACACATGTGTCCCACCAGTAGTCAAAGGGTTAAGGGATCTGGCTTACACTCACAGCGAGCACCATCTCGTCCCTCTGGATCACCTGCACGCGATCATACCAGATATGAGTTTAGTAGAATCCTAGTATTTTCCTCCGAACTTTTCATTACATCAGTTTCTGTACCGATAAAATCATCAGGCGCTGGAACCATGTACAAAGGCCCTGATCCCTTCAAATATTTGATGGGTGTCTCCACGAGATTCTTAGGAACCTCATTCAGGTCAAACCCACCATTGTCAGGGAATAGAAAAGCTCACCGGCAGCGCGGACGCGAGCGCGTGCTGGTGACGTCACAGCTGCGCAAGAGCGATGAAAGGACGAGCCAGCACCGCTGACACTTTGCTTGAAGAGTAAAGAAGGTGCTGATGGCTTTCTAACTCAAGCATTAGTGCGATGGTGAAATGATTGTACTACGTATCGTCTTCGCTTCAGAAGATAGAAAATTCCAAGTGCGTAGTTCCAATTGTAGCACGTGATCAGTATGCGATAAAGGAGTCGATGCCTTCATGTGTAAGCTTAGGCTGCTCAAATAAGCTGCATTTGATTCGTGCGAGTCCGTTGTTGGATTCGACTCCGACTTACATCACTACTTACTACACAATGAAGTTAGAGTGCGATACGTGCTCGCAGGACAAAAACGACGTCACGAACACGCGAACGCGTCCGCGCGCCGGTGAGCTTTTCCATGTAACCCACCATAACGGTCATTTCTTCCCTTTATGATCTTACTAATTTGCGGAGTGCTTTTGTACGTGACCTCCTTGGCCTTTTTCTGTACACAACTACCATTCATTCTCTTTTGTGAGGACGGGCGCTTAACTGTTTTTGCCATAATCGGAGACCGTCGATCAACTCGATCATCTCTCGGGCAATTACTCCTTCGTCAGTATAAATGAGTGATTGCATAATTATGGGGAAAAACCTTGATTTCGAAACAAAAGGGAGCAGTAATATTACATTTCGGAGATTCAGAAGAGCCTACGGCTGTGTCTTTGTTTGAGCTACCGATAAGCTGGAATGGAATCATTTATGAGTCCACTGTGTTGAAACTCCCCTACACGATTTGTGGTACATCGATACGCATAATGAATAGACTAACCATATAAAATTGCCGATCACCGAAACGCATCAGCTCGGCGAACCCGTTCAACCATGAGTGCAAAAGACCATAAAATAGCGAAACAAGGCACACAATGCCTGGCACAATACCGGCGAATAACGAAAGTACGATACTGCGTACTGATAAGG